ATTAATATGAATTCCCATTTTGAACTCTTTCAATCCTTTAATGGACTGCAATGACTTTTTATGGGACTGTTGTGTGTCTCCCCAAACCTTTCCTCCCACTGTTCATTAGATCGTTGTACAATATCACTGACGATAGCGTTATGCTTCGAGACGTTGCTTCATCAGAGAAGTATTTTCCAAACTGATAACATTTCTTTTGTAGAATACCGTATTTGTATGGACTGTCAATTTTAATGGCATAAGAACGAACAAATAATATAATCAACATTATCCATCTTTGCGTACATTTTAATGAATCTCTTCAGTCATCGGAAAGATTTTCAATGGATTACTGATATGCAAAAATTCTTTTCACAAAGTTCTTCATACGAACAAGAGCACTTTCTTTGTGCTTTACAAAATCAGCATACATGATGGTCTATTTTTGATGTTAACTTTAAAATATTTACAAATTTCAGAAGTGATTACTTTCAGCTGAGGTTGTTACGTAGTCGAAGTTGACTTCTTAGCTTCAGTTCTTAGTGTAATGTCTCAAAGAAAACAAATGTTGCACACCTCAATATCGGTTCACACACTTAAAAATGGCCAAATTCATCGCCATAGTTCAAGATTTGACGGGTTGCCTGAACAATTTTTTCCTCACAATCAGTGAATTTACTAACTGCATCGTTTTCGGTGGTCTATATGTACAGTGTCCGTGTTCTTCATCATCCGACAATTCTGAGTCTTCTGTGAAGCCGAAGGAGGACTAGGAGGGCCTGGAGTCCTCCTGGTAGCAACTAGCCAACTGGATGGCAAACTAGTCAAATGAAATGATAGCGAATACAGTGCTGAAGGTGAGTATCATTTTCCTGTAGCTCTTCTCATCGTCATCCTCCTCACGTGCTCTTTTCCGTCTCGTANTGGTCAGTTTCTGTGATGACGAACTCGGTGCATTCACACCATATTCACCATACGTCCTTATACCACATAGTGGTATATCGCTGAACACTGATCTGAAATATAGTTTACAACTGAATGCAATCAATTTAAATGCATATTTTTACGAAACTGAACACTAACAATAAGGTAATGTGATGATACAAAACATTTTTGAAATATACATACATACCTAAACTACAGGGTCCGATACACTGAAAATTCTGGCGACATGTCTTCCATATGTATCGCACATATTTCACTAAGTCACATGAATCTACCATCACATGGCTATTTTGTGTGTAAACTATTTCGCCAAAATTTTCAGTGATATTACAACAATGTTGACGAATTAGTAAAAAGTATATTAATTCTGAAACAATTCCATTCAATGAATTAAGTTTCATTCTTTCTAAGGAATTGTTTTCCCGATTACAATCAGACCTGATCATTTGAATTATCGAGTTTCTGTTGTACAAAGCAAAACTTTTCAAAATACAGAATGGTGTGCTCGAAATAGCCATTGTTGAAGTGATAGGATGTAAACTTGATGATGTAAATGAACGATCATTCACCTAAACACAGAGGCTTCATCCAATGACGTTTCTCGCGCACAGCAATTGAATATGAAAGCGATACGATTCGAACTCTGTGGCCATTTGTCAATTACCGATTTCTGCATTAATTTCAACATTGTTGGCAGCAAAACGAAAAGTTTTTTCTTTTCAAAAACAAAATCGGATATTGAATCATTCAACAAACTCATTTCAATAATCTCACGATCGAAAATTTTCTAAAAAACACTTTAACTCCATTGAAGAAGACCAAAAG